GATAAAATTATATATAATTATATATAGTATTATATATAATTAAATATAAACTAATTCCTAAAGACTCTTTAATGATACAAATTGATTGGATATAACAGGGCAATAGGAGTCATGCACGCGCGGTAATTCTCGTGTAAACCAATACGATTATCAAAACAACTTTAATCCACTAGCGGATTAATTATTAATAAAGTTGTTTTGTTAATCGTAATCCATATGTTATGTCCAACTAATTATTAATAATTAGATATAAAATATTTTTTTCCCACGATTGTGCAGAATAAGCTTTAATTCTGGGCTCTTTATATTCTATTCCAGGTAATTCTTACTTACGAGTTAATGCAACTCCGCCGTGATCTCCTGTCGACGGAAAAATGCGTAAAACTATTCGTGGAAGTCCTAAAATTTAACACAATATATAAGGGATAATTAATTATTTATTACATGAATTTAGGTATTTATCGGAAAATTAACATATATAAGGTAAAATTATTTCCGAGTAATATTCTGCCTTAATATACATAATATACATATAACGCGATATATATATTATAAAGTCATTCATGATTTACCATATAAATTTAGATGCTTCATTGGAGCATATACATATATGTAGGAAATGTATGTTCCGATATGTGTATAAATTCATATATAAGGTACTAAATTACTATTAACTGATTTCGTATATGTATATACCATGTCAAAATATTACGCGACACATATACAATTATAAACAGAAATCTATCCTAAAGTATAACATGAATATAAACCGTCTAAAGTGAGCTCGAATAAGGTGATTAAACTCTGATCAATTTATTCACTAATTTAATTGATATTTTTACTATTTTATTAGAATTGATAAAAATTTTTTCACTTTGTGAATCGTTACGTGCCTAAAAAAGTTTGTAAAAATTTTCGACTTTATAACATAAAAGCTTAAAGTTTCTCCTACAAAATCATTTTTTTAAAGAAAAATGTCTCAAAAATTCTTTATTACTGAGTTAATTCGCGAATTAAACCCAGACAGCAAAGTGTGTCAGCAAAATCGCATAAATTTGTGATTTCTTATTATGATGCCGACAATTTGCCGTAGATTTGTCTTCAATGATTTCGAATATACTATTATAGCAACACGCTGGCAACAATATGTAGGTATATATTACTAGCAATTTTTTTAACTGTAACTCAAGTAGCACAGCAGCGCCTGCAAAACATTAAAAAATTCTCATATGCGCTTTTTTTACCACTTTATAGGCATTGTGTGCTACTTGGAAAGACAATTTTATGATCGCATTAATATTAATTTACGTTCTCAGCATGACAGCATTGTATGATTCTACATATTATTATGACAATATGACAGATTATTATGGCAATAGTACAGATTTTGATAATGACGATTTTAAAGTTGTCGGCAAATTGTTGTCAAATTGCTACTCAAAATTGTCATATTGTGAAAGCATCACATTACCAAATGCGGACTCAGTTGCTACAATTTTGATAACAATACATATATTTTAACAATGCATACTCAGCAAACGACATGCCAGCAATAAGACACGTTGCTATCAGGAAATAAAAAAAACATTTTGATTTTGATTGTTCATAACTTCGTTAAAAAAAATTATCGTATCTTAATAAAAAAAAAAAACAGTTTTTTAAAGCTAAAATTTTGCTTTATCGAATATAATTGCATATTGAATAAAATACTATATTCTGAACGATTTACACGAAAATTTTTTTCGAATAAGGTACTTTTCCACTTACTCAAAAGCATTTGACCTTAAAATAAAGAATTTAACTAAAGTTTAATTATAATTAAGAAAATTAGCGAACGTATTTAAAAAATATATATATTTAGATAAAAAATAAAAACTATGTAAGGTTAAAATAAAAAATAATAACTATAATTATTTTTGTCTAGACACTTTTTAAAAAAGTTTTCTTATGTTTTCTGAACAAGGAAAAACAATTTGAAAAATTATATTATATTTAAAGTATATTTACCTGTTTTTCTAAACTATATTCCAAGTAGAAACATAGAAGTTATAATAATATCATGAGGACGTCATCATGATCTCATCACTTATAAGTTAATTTTTAAATATCAAATGACACCATGGTAATGTCCTCTGATATCATTATATGACTTAATTATGATTCCGTGTTCTACCCGGGATTATGTTATTCTTACAAATTATTCAAATTTCTGTTATAATATTTCTGTATTAATTATTTAATAGTTGCCGATTTCTTAGAATGAGATTTCTGCGTTGTAGAAACGAACACATATATATAGCATATTTCATTCGAGAGACATTCTGAGAACATTTTAGGAGATATGATATCCTTTGGACGTTTCTAGGGATCCCTTGAAGATATGTGCTGTATAGGAAAAGTTTTTTAAAATTATTTGATTTTGTTTGATAGAAAAAAGTTAGTTAACATTCAACAGAAAAGCTTTTGTTACAAAAATTGTACGTATTAAATGGCACGGTATCGCTACATATTTAAACAGGAAAACGTTATCGGCATGCAACAATTGCCGATATGAAATACTGTAATGTTACGTAATACA